CTTGTAATATATTTACTGAGAAAAATGGTGACGTGTTCAATACTTATTTTACCCACTGCACATATTTTTTAGATACAAAAATAAAAGAGAAATTTCCATACACTTATTAACTAGTAATTTATTGAAATTAATTATGAACATTTGTTTAACCTCGAAAAGTACCGTTTTTAATGTAAGTGTTGCTGATATATCAAGTTTCTCAGTGGATCTGCGCTCGACAAAGTAGCCTAGGTGGAGTAGTCGAACACAGATCCACTAAGTGTTCAACACAGAGCATCTTCAGAAGACAAGTTGATGAAATAAATTTTGAAAAATTGTATTGTTCAATACATTGTGGGTAGTGAACCTAGAGCACTGTATTAAACGGTTCGATTCAGACGCATGTATTGTTGCACCTCTAAATATTAGTAGCCTCACAAGTGTGCAATGTGAAATTGCAGGAGATTCTTTTCATAACAAACTGAACATTGGGTTTTTATTTAAGCAAAAACCCAAACACAGTTTCCCCTGGAATATACGCTGGATTCTTTTAATCAGTAATGCAAAAGAAGACCTTTAGTCATCAACCGAATAATTGGAAACGGAGGCCTGTTAAAAGACATATTCTTCCAGAAAAAAACAAACTCAGCAGAAAGCACAGGGTAGAACAGAGGGACAAGAACAGAGAAGAGAAACAGGGAGGCAGATGTTGGAGGCAGCAGCAGATTGTAGACCAGAGGGGAGATGATAGAACAGTATGAAAAGGATGAAGTGGCATTTACTTTGCTGGGGCCCACCTTCAGATCTAGATACTCCAGGTCCTTCTTCAGTTGTATGTAAGTATCATCTGCCTTTAAATGAGCAGTGGAGAGATAAGTCATTTGAAATAATGCTGCAGGAAATAATAGGTGACCAGATGACTCTTAAGGTTTTTACTTGTCGTTCAGGCTTTGCTAACAGAACTTTAATTAACTTGGTCTCAATTATAGAGTACTTCCACCTCTGTATTTTTTTTATCTGCAATTAGTAAAGCTAAACTCTAGTTAGGTCATTATAAAAACTGGTTTAATGTCTCACGTGTGACCTCTTAAACAACTGAGCAACGCAGGTCCTGTTCATGACATGTGGTCAAGCTGAGTGCTTTAATTTGCTCATGAGCATGGAGAATGGCCAAAGGATGATTAGATGTCAGAACCTGGGTGGAGTTGTCATTACTGAGCAGCACTGCGGCTTCTCTGTGGTTCCTGCAGAGGATTTTCATCGCAGGCTCATGAAGACGACTGTGGCCTGGTGGCTGCTTCAGAATGATAACTCCAGAATAATCAGCGCATACAGATACAAATGTGGTTTCTGCTTCTTGTGGTTATGCAGTAACAGACGTTGCATCTCTGAAGCAAAGTAAGGTAAGTCATATAAATGCGTACGACAAACAACATGCTTTAAAGGGGCAATATCATGTAAAATCAACTTTTTTGAGTTTTATATCATGTTATAATGTTATACTCTCATAAAAAAAACATGCCCAAAGCCTTGCTCTGACTCATTCATGCATGTTTGAGAAATCCTGCAGRGTTTTTAGGAAGCCATGCTGAGGAGCAAAAAGACAGGTGGGGACCAGAAACACCCCCGGGAGGTGTCTCCAAGTTGAGCTTCCTCATCACGAAGCACAACTCCCCACCCCCCACCCCATACACCCCGCCCATGACTCCTGCAGGCTCTCAGCAGTAACAAAGTGAAAGTGAAACTTAAACTGTCTGCTGCTCTTGACACTACTGCTCACTTGGAGAAGCTCTTTTCAGATTCAAAATACCTTTGAGGAAATGTATTTTCAGATGCCAAGTAAACTGCATCATGGCGCGCCGCCCCCACCCCCACGCACTGAAATGGACGGGACAGAAGCGGAAGGTGATTCTTAAAGAGACAGAGGCCAATTTCAAGGCGTTTAGAAGAGGAAGTGACGAGAAGATAAGTTTATTTTCTATTTAAACATAAAAACAGCATTTTAATAACAACTAAAGGTGACATAGATACTTTATTGTGGTATAGTATTAGAATTTATGCCTGAGAAACTCATAATATTGCTCCTTTAAATATGACTAACAACCTTTGCCTTTGCTTTTAAAGGTACAATTGCACAAAAGCTCTGAAAGCATTATCATGTTAAGAAAGGTGGCGCATAGCTTCAAAGGTATGAATGTAGTAAATAAGTACAATACAGCACATGCCAAAATGGCTGGATGAACACAGACAACCAAGCAGTACCAAGAGACTGCAGAGTCTGTAAACATGACAGGGAGATAATGTGTAGGAATGGCTGGGGAGAGGGAGGGGGCACGATGCACTGGCAGGGGATGCAGAATGCCGCATTAGGGAAGAATGAGTTTCCCTGACCTGCATGCTGGGGCCCAGAAGGCCGTTGTGCTGGTGGTGCTGCAGATGAGCGAACGCATTGCTGGGGCTATGCACTCCAGCCATCTTGGCCTGGTGCCTCCGAAGTTGAATGAGGAGCAGAGTCAGCTCCTCTGGCTGTAGCCAAACCAAGGTTTAAGGTAGGGAGGCCCACAAGGCCAGTGAAGGTACAGAGGGATGAGAGAAAATACTTGATAACCATCTGGGCGAAACAGTGGCTTAGAGCTTTGAGAGCCAAGCAGCACAGAGGCCAGAGCACTGCTGGCGAATGTCCTGTTTTAATTTGAACTCTAGAGTCAGATTATGGAACTCATTAGAAGGTTAAAGATCACTTCCTGTCTGAAAAGAACAAATTAAACCAGCTGCACAAAGTTTCACTAATTCAAATGCTTTGGATTCTACAACTAGTTAGTGTTACCTAGTTTTATTCATTCTTTCCCCTACAATTCAGCAGACTAATTAAATAAAAATAAAAAAATTCTGAAAGTCACATTTACAGAAGGTCTTACCGTTTTCCCATGCAAGCTGGGAGCACTGACCGTGTGTGTGATGTAACCCATGGTTGGCACAGACCTTCTCTCCATTTGGGAAGTCTGCAGAAAAACAAAGTTCATCTCATTATTAAAAATCCTACATCAGGGCGATTCAWCTGGTGGCRCGCAGGCCACATCCAGCCCACGAGTGACCAAAGTTCGGCCCGCCAATTGGTTCATTCATCTCTGAAGAACAAACTCCTGGTTTTCTTTTTAATTACTACAAGTTCTTTCAGTTAGACATAGACATTTGTGGTGTCTACAGAAATCATTTTTATGAACTATAGGCAGTTGAAAGATAAAAGTATGAAAGTGAAAATAAAATTGYTTTTAAAATTTGGCAAGTCAGAGATGTCAAAATAATATTTGTGTTAAACATGAGGCATACTGTGTTATTTTTGTTTTTGATATTGCTTTATTATCACTACCTTTATTGCATAGAGTTCTGTATGTTGTATTCATGATTAAATGCAGCAAAATAAACAATTTCAAATGTAACAGACCTTTATAAGAATTGGTTTATTTATACAATGACTTTAATTGCTGGATGTTCGGCCCCTGTGCTGTTGGCCTGCATCAACTGTGGCCCCTGGAATGATTTAGTTGAATAGCCCTGTCCTGTGTGATCAAGTTAAACAAATCTGCAAACAAATCTTCAGCACAGAGTTAAAAGTTTGAGAAATATCACTTGATCACACTAAACCCTTGCCTCTAAGTTTGCAAACAAATTAGACTACACAGCAGATTTATGTTTCATCCATCCTTTTTTTCCCCTCTCCCCTCGTTATCACTCCCACCCTTATTTGAAACAAGGTGTGCCTCCAGTTTCAGATGCTGCGGGGGCTTTGGAAGATTTGACATTTTTGCTTAACACACAGAATTAGCAAGAAAAATCCAGACCCACTACAGAACCTTAAAAGGACACAAACAACAAGAGATTTAATTAACTACACATAAATTATACCAAACCTGCTTTCTTAAAATAACATTTGTTTGCTACCAGCTAGAGAAGCCCTGTAAGCCATTCCCTTTGAGATTCCCATGCCACAATTTTTTTGCTGTATAATAGGTTTTTTATTTAAATGCAAGATCAGAAGAAAGAGACCGCTGCTGATGTTTGGGATACAGTAAAGATGTTTATAGGGTGCTGAGAAGCCCTGGGCAAATTGGATTAGCCGCTAATAAAACATACTGTACTTCTTAATGATATTCCACAGCGGCACGCAGATCTCTGTTACTTAAGTGCACTCGAGCAAGAGCACCATCGGCCTCAGAGATGCTGGTTGCACCAAAGCAAAGTTCACACTAAAATTAGTTTCCATAAACGCTGCCTGCTCGCACAAGGCACTGTGGCTGCCTTTGTTGAACACGCATCTTCCTATAATTGTGCGCCGCTCCAATCAGTGGTAGTAATTAGTGCGGTGAGGTTTGGAGTGAGTGATGGGCCAAAAACAGAGCATCTGCAACACTTTGTTTACTTGTGCACGGCCATGGGGCTGGTTGAGAAGCTTGCGCGCGCTGGCGGCCATGGCCACGGTTCAGAGGGAGAACCGTTCACATGTGGAGGGTGTGGTGAGAAGACAGCGCAGGGTGTGGATAATGGGGACATCCTCTCGCTCCGTCTCCTGCGGCGGTGGCGGTGCTGTCTGAGAGCCTTGCTGGTTTGAGGAGCGACAGAGCGCTGAGCCTTTACTCACACACACACACACACACACATGCTCGCACCACCTGGTGAGCGCGCCTGGGTGTGGACTATGTGAATCACATGAGCTTCAAAGTGTGTGCGCTGAAGAGCTGGAGCCTTCTCAGGCTTCTCAGCCTTAGCTTCCCATGGGCCCCTTATGAGCCCACAATTTGCTGACATCACAGGCTGCTGTGAGAATGAGAACATTGTTTTTGACTCACAACGTGACATTCATCAACTTTTCCTTCAGTCCCATGCCAATGACAGGCTATTGGTGGGTCCTGTTTGTCTGTGTTATAGTGTTAGAGACTAAATGACTGAGCACGTTTATGAAGGAACAAATTCTCATCTATACATTAGACTGTCAGTTTTCCACGCTCCCTGCTTACTGTGTCTGAACACCTTGAGAACGCTTCAACTGGTGTTTCTTTTCTCACTTTGATGGTGTTTTTGTCCAATTTACAGAACATACTAAAGACATAAATACCAGGAGCTGGGACTGCACAAGCATCTATTATTAGATGTTTAAATTTCCTTGTTGTTTTCTTGATTACTCATTAAGTTATATGTTCCATGGGCGTAGTTTGTGGGGG